AGAATGATAAAAAAAAAACGGAGTGCCTGTACCGCTTTATTCAATTCACAACCATTTTGTTAAAAATAAAAATTGTATTTACACCTTGTATTACACGTATTCATACAATTTACAATTCAATATTTTTTTAAGCTTGTAAACCACACACCAAAACACCTTACACGTCCACATACCACTTAACCACAACACCACAGAAAACCACATAACCACACAACCACATAACCATATTAACACAACACCACAACACCACAACACCACATAACCACATAACCACATCACCCCATAACCACATAACCACAACACCACAACACCACATAACCACATAAACAGATAGCTACAACTCCACATAACCACATAACCACAACACCACAACACCACATAACCACATAATCAGATAGCCACAACTCCACATAACCACATCACCACATAACCACGTAACCACATAACCACATAACTACCACAGACCAACACAACGGTACTAAAAATTGTCACCATCTATTCTCCAACACCTCCCATCACATTTCTACCCACAGCAACAATTGACAACACCCTCCCCCCACCCACCAGCCACCCCCCAACCCCCCCCCCTCCCATACGTTGAAACAATATCCCGCCACTTAGCAGCCCCTCGCTAATACTACTACACCCCCCGCACATGCCCCTTCCCCGCACCCAACAAGCCAAAGCTCCCCCCCCCCCCCAGACGAGGCCCCACCCCCACATATTTAGAGCGCCATGTCTGCCTCTAGGCTAGATCTGGCCAGTTCACTCAAGACGATCCTCTTTTGGCCCCAAAGCCAAATCAATTTAATTATATCGCACCTCTCGTCATCGTGGACAGTCAGCTTTCGTACCCAATTTGGCCAACTTTATTCCACAATTTGGCCAACTTTATTCCCCAATTTGGCCAACTTTATTCCACAATTTGGTCAACTTTATTCCACAATTTGGCCAACTTTATTCCACAATTTGGCCAACTTTATTCCACAATTTGGCCAACTTTATTCCACAATTTGGCCAACTTTATTCCACAATTTGGCCAACTTTATTCCACAATTTGGCCAACTTTATTCCATAATTTGACCAACTTTATTCCACAATTTGGCCAACTTTATTCCACAATTTGGCCAACTTTATTCCACAATTTGGCCAACTTTATTCCACAATTTGGCCAACTTTATTCCACAATTTGGCTAGCTCACCATATTAGGCAAACTTTACCCCACAATTTGGCCAACTTTATTCCACAATTTGGCCGAAATGTCCTTCCCATTTCGGCCATTTTTACCTCACATTTTGCCCATCAGTCGATCGATGCCCTAGACTAGATCGTTACCCAGATCTAATATTATTGTTGCAGTATAAAACTGCCCTGCGATGTGTGTACAGTTTTAATTGGGTTCCCTTGGGCTTGCCAGATCAAACTTTTGTCTTTATTTAACAAAGTACAATTTGCCATGTTTTGATTTTGTGGGCCAAAAATTCTTGATGAAACAAGAAATTTTCACCTGCTTGAAACGGGCATGAATGTTGAAAGATATTTGAAGCTATCTAAGTTCAGGTGAAGTAGCCTTTAGTTCACACGTCTATATAGAAATAACAAAGAAGTCTAATATGACTTTAGATATAAGTGGTATATGTAGGCCTATACGTCATACAAAGTCTAGCGTGACGTCATACAAAGTCTAGCGTGACGTCATACACGTGAACTCAGGTGTCATGTCAACATACTGACTCCATCACAGATAAGTGCGCACGGGCGAACCTAATTAATTAAAGATTTAATTAAACATTTCAAGTAGCCGTCTGACACTAGGGCTGGCATGAAATAACTGACCCTAAAAATCTCGTAGTCATTGCTAACAAAATTTTATCCCATCTTTTCAGGCCATTGAATTCAAACATTTTAATGTCATCGATTGTTTCCCTTACTTGGTCTAAAAATAAATTCGAATGGCTAAATTCAATTTTATAAAATCAGAGTTTTCCGCTCCTTATTGCTGTGCATATATAACCATCCGCCTTGGACTTAATTATAACGCGTATGAATTCCCGATTTCTGTTTGCATTAGCTGAGGTCTTGTAAGCGACTTGACGGAGCTTGGGCTGATCGATGACAGGCTTTGTTTTACGGGGGGAGGGGGGGGGGGGGGGCGTTGGTGGTTGGTGGAGGGAGGGGTTGGTGGAGTTGGTGGTTGGTGGAGGGAGGGGTTGGTGGAGTTGGTGGTTGGTGGAGGGAGGGGTTGGTGGAGTTGGTGGTTGGTGGAGTTGGTGGTTGGTGGAGTTGGTGGTTGGTGGAGTAGCGTGGAGTTGGTGGAGGGTGAAGTTGGTGGAGTTTGTAGAGGGAGGGGTTGGTGGAGTTTGTGGTTGGTGGGTAGTGGAGTTGGTGGGGGGATGGGAGAGGTTGGTGGAGTTAAAGATTATTGGTGTAAGTGATCAATTGAATCATGCTCAGATGAAACACATATAAGACACAGAGAAGACATTGAAATGTCTTCAAACAACTAGCCCGACCAAGCAAAGGCCAAGTGGTCCCTCGTGTGTTCTCTCTTGTGTGTCTTCCCTCGTGTGTTCTCTCTTGTGTGTCTTCCCTCGTGTGTTCTCTCTTGTGTGTCTTCCCTCGTGTGTTCTCTCTTGTGTGTCTTCCCTCGTGTGTTCTCTCTTGTGTGTCTTCCCTCGTGTGTTCTCTCTTGTGTGTCTTCCCTCGTGTGTTCTCTCTTGTGTGTCTTCCCTCGTGTGTTCTCTCTTGTGTGTCTTCCCTCGTGTGTTCTCTCTTGTGTGTCTTCCCTCGTGTGTTCTCTCTTGTGTGTCTTCCCTCGTGTGTTCTCTCTTGTGTGTCTTCCCTCGTGTGTTCTCTCTTGTGTGTCTTCCCTCGTGTGTTCTCACTTGTGTGTCTTCCCTCGTGTGTTCTCTCTTGTGTGTCTTCCCTCGTGTGTTCTCTCTTGTGTGTCTTCCCTCGTGTGTTCTCTCTTGTGTGTCTTCCCTCGTGTGTTCTCTCTTGTGTGTCTTCCCTCGTGTGTTCTCTCTTGTGTGTCTTCCCTCGTGTGTTCTCTCTTGTGTGTCTTCCCTCGTGTGTTCTCTCTTGTGTGTCTTCCCTCGTGTGTTCTCTCTTGTGTGTCTTCCCTCGTGTTTTCTCTCTTGTGTGTCTTCCCTCGTGTATTCTCTCTTGTGTGTCTTCCCTCGTGTGTTCTCTCTTGTGTGTCTTCCCTCGTGTGTTCTCTCTTGTGTGTCTTCCCTCGTGTGTTCTCTCTTGTGTGTCTTCCCTCGTGTGTTCTCTCTTGTGTGTCTTCCCTCGTGTGTTCTCTCTTGTGTGTCTTCCCTCGTGTGTTCTCTCTTGTGTGTCTTCCCTCGTGTGTTCTCTCTTGTGTGTCTTCCCTCGTGTGTTCTCTCTTGTGTGTCTTCCCTCGTGTGTTCTCTCTTGTGTGTCTTCCCTCGTGTGTTCTCTCTTGTGTGTCTTCCCTCGTGTGTTCTCTCTTGTGTGTCTTCCCTCGTGTGTTCTCACTTGTGTGTCTTCCCTCGTGTGTTCTCTCTTGTGTGTCTTCCCTCGTGTGTTCTCTCTTGTGTGTCTTCCCTCGTGTGTTCTCTCTTGTGTGTCTTCCCTCGTGTGTTCTCTCTTGTGTGTCTTCCCTCGTGTGTTCTCTCTTGTGTGTCTTCCCTCGTGTGTTCTCTCTTGTGTGTCTTCCCTCGTGTGTTCTCTCTTGTGTGTCTTCCCTCGTGTGTTCTCTCTTGTGTGTCTTCCCTCGTGTGTTCTCTCTTGTGTGTCTTCCCTCGTGTGTTCTCTCTTGTGTGTCTTCCCTCGTGTGTTCCCTCGTGATCTAATACTTCATGTTTCACCCTGGCCCCACCCCTACTACTGATCTCCCCCCCCCCCCCCCCACTTATTTATGTCTGGTACTAGAGTTGTCTGCCACACTGGCGGCCAGGCTAAAAAGAACAAAGCGAACTTAATTAGGACCTTCAAGTGTACAATTAATGGGAATCGATTCTATGATAGTGCGATACCGATAACTTGCTGGACACATTTTGTTTAGGCTAAACCTAAACCTAAGTAGGTTGTTATGGTAGACTAAACCTAACCTAAGTAGGTTGTTATGGTAGACTAAACTAAACCTAAGTAGGTTGTTATGGTAGGCTAAACCTAAGTAGGTTGTTATGGTAGACTAAACCTAAACCTAAGTAGGTTGTTATGGTAGACTAAACCTAAACCTAAATAGGTTGTTATGGTAAACTAAACCTAAACCTAAGTAGGTTGTTATGGTAGACTAAACCTAAACCTAAGTAGATTCTTATGGTAGACTAAACCTAAACCTAAGTAGGTTGTTATGGTAAACTAAACCTAAACCTAAGTAGGTTGTTATGGTAGACTAAACCTAAGTAGGTTGTTATGGTAGACTAAAACTAAACCTAAGTAGGTTCTTATGGTAGACTAAACCTAAACCTAAGTAGGTTGTTATGGTAGACTAAACCTAAACCTAAGTAGGTTGTTATGGTAAACTAAACCTAAACCTAAGTAGGTTGTTATGGTAGACTAAACCTTACCCTAACTCAAAGTAGGTTGTTATGGTAGACTAAACCAAACCCAAAGTAGGTTGTTATGGTAGACTAAACCTAAACCTAAGTAGGTTGTTATGGTGTTATGGTAGACTAAACCTAACCCAAAGTAGGTTGTTATGGTAGACTAAACCTAACCCTAAGTACGTTGTTATGGTAGACTAAACCTAACCCTAACCGAAAGGAAGGACAAGTAGGTTTTTATGTTGAGTCGTATGGGGTCGGCTGTTGATATGGGGTCGGTTGTTGGTAGCCAGATTTAATATGGCCTTTTTAGCCGGCCAACTTTATTATGGCCAACTTTAGTATGGCCAACTTTAGTATGGCCATCTTTAGCAGGCCAATTTTAACATGGCCAACAGTAATCAGGCCAGCTCACAGCAGATATGACGACTCAGCCAGACAATTCTGCGTCACATGTGACGTCACACGAGCCTTTGTTTTGACAGGTCCCTACAATGAGATGCTGCAGGGGTTTCCTTGATGTCGTCACGCGCAGGAAGTCGTGGGACGTGCGCAGTTTGTACCAGACTGAGCTCACACGCAGTCTCAATGTGGTGGAGCTAATCGGCATCGGTGAGTTTAGGAGCTTAGTGCTGTGTCTAGCTCAATCTTAAAGTTTAGCCAGGGTCTGCTAAAGTTTAGCCAGGTACTGCTAGCTTTAAAATTTAGCCAGACACAATTAGCTTATAGATTTCCTTACATAAATGAGCAAATTGAATTATTTACAATTTTTACATCGACGACATAAAGACGTTTATACAAAATGTCTATCTCACCTTTCTATCTCACCTTTCTATCTCATCTTTCTATCTCACCTTTCTATCTCACCTTTCTATCTCACCTTTCTATCTCACCTTCATGTATCTCTCACCTTTCTATCTCACCTTTCTATCTCATCTTTCTATCTCACCTTTCTATCTCATTTTTCTATTTCACCTTCATGTATCTCTCACCTTTCTATCTCACCTTTCTATCTCACCTTTCTATCTCATCTTTCTATCTCACCTTTCTATCTCATCTTTCTATCTCACCTTCATGTATCTCTCACCTTTCTATCTCACCTTTCTATCTCATCTTTCTATCTCAGCTTTCTATCTCATCTTTCTATCTCACCTTTCTATCTCATCTTTCTATCTCACCTTCATGTATCTCTCACCTTTCTAACTCACCTTTCTATCTCATCTTTCTATCTCACCTTTCTATCTCATCTTTCTATCTCACCTTCATGTATCTCTCACCTTTCTATCTCACCTTTCTATCTCATCTTTCTATCTCACCTTTCTATCTCATCTTTCTATCTCACCTTCATGTATCTCACCTTTCTATCTCACCTTTCTATCTCAGCTTTCTATCTCACCTTTCTATCTCACCTTTCTATCTCAGCTTTCTATCTCACCTTTCTATCTCACCTTTCTATCTCACCTTTCTATCTCACCTTTCTATCTCACCTTTCTATCTCACCTTTCTATCTCACCTTTCTATCTCACCTTTCTATCTCACCTTTCTATCTCACCTTTCTATCTCACCTTTCTATCTCACCTTTCTATCTCACCTTTCTATCTCACATTTCTATCTCACCTTTCTATCTCATCTTCCTATCTCACCTTCATGTATCTCTCACCTTTCTACCTCAGCTTTCTATCTCACCTTTCTATCTCACCTTTCTATCTCATCTTTCTATCTCACCTTTCTATCTCATCTTTCTATCTCACATTTCTATCTCACCTTTATATCTCACCTTTCTATCTCACCTTTCTATCTCACCTTTCTATCTCACCTTTCTATCTCACCTTTCTATCTCACCTTTCTATCCCACCTTTCTATCTCACCTTTCTATCTCACCTTTCTATCTCACCTTTCTATCTCACCTTTCTATCTCACCTTTCTATCTCACCTTTCTATCTCACCTTTCTATCTCACCTTTTCTATCTCACCTTTCTATCTCACCTTCATGTATCTCTCACCTTCATGAATCTCTCACCTTCATGTATCAATCACCTTCATGTATCTCTCACCTTTCTATCTCAACTTTCTATCTCACCTTTCTATCTCACCTTTCTATCTCACCTTTCTATCTCACCTTTCTATCTCACCTTTCTATCTCATCTTTCTATCTCACCTTTCTATCTCACCTTTCTATCTCACCTTCTATCTCACCTTTCTATCTCACCTTTCTATCTCATCTTCCCATCTCACCTTCATGTATCTCTCACCTTTCTATCTCAGCTTTCTATCTCAGCTTTCTATATCAGCTTTCTATCACACCTTTCTATCTCACCTTTCTATCTCATCTTTCTATCTCACCTTTCTATCTCACCTTTTATCTCACCTTTTTATCTCACCTCTCTATCTCACCTTTCTATCTCACCTTTCTATCTCACCTTTTCTATCTCACCTTTCTATCTCACCTTCATGTATCTCTTACCTTCATGAATCTCTCACCTTCATGTATCACTCACCTTCATGTATCTCTCACCTTTCTATCTCACCTTTCTATCTCACCTTTCTATCTCACCTTTTCTATCTCACCTTTCTATCTCACCTTCATGTATCTCTTACCTTCATGAATCTCTCACCTTCATGTATCACTCACCTTCATGTATCTCTCACCTTTCTATCTCACCTTTCTATCTCACCTTTCTATCTCACCTTCTATCTCACCTTTCTATCTCACCTTTCTATCTCATCTTCCCATCTCACCTTCATGTATCTCTCACCTTTCTATCTCAGCTTTCTATCTCAGCTTTCTATATCAGCTTTCTATCACACCTTTCTATCTCACCTTTCTATCTCATCTTTCTATCTCACCTTTCTATCTCACCTTTTATCTCACCTTTTTATCTCACCTCTCTATCTCACCTTTCTATCTCACCTTTCTATCTCACCTTTTCTATCTCACCTTTCTATCTCACCTTCATGTATCTCTTACCTTCATGAATCTCTCACCTTCATGTATCACTCACCTTCATGTATCTCTCACCTTTCTATCTCACCTTTCTATCTCACCTTTCTATCTCACCTTTCTATCTCAGCTTTCTATCTCACCTTTCTATCTCACCTTTCTATCTCACCTTTCTATCTCACCTTTCTATCTCACCTTTCTATCTCACCTTTCTATCTCACCTTCATGTATCTCTCACCTTTCTATCTCACCTTTCTATCTCACCTTTCTATCTCACCTTTCTATCTCACCTTTCTATCTCACCTTTCTATCTCAGCTTTCTATCTCAGCTTTCTATATCAGCTTTCTATCACACCTTTCTATCTCACCTTTCTATCTCATCTTTCTATCTCACCTTTCTATCTCACCTTTTATCTCACCTTTTTATCTCACCTCTCTATCTCACCTTTCTATCTCACCTTTCTATCTCACCTTTTCTATCTCACCTTTCTATCTCACCTTCATGTATCTCTTACCTTCATGAATCTCTCACCTTCATGTATCACTCACCTTCATGTATCTCTCACCTTTCTATCTCACCTTTCTATCTCACCTTTCTATCTCACCTTTTCTATCTCACCTTTCTATCTCACCTTCATGTATCTCTTACCTTCATGAATCTCTCACCTTCATGTATCACTCACCTTCATGTATCTCTCACCTTTCTATCTCACCTTTCTATCTCACCTTTCTATCTCACCTTTCTATCTCAGCTTTCTATCTCACCTTTCTATCTCACCTTTCTATCTCACCTTTCTATCTCACCTTTCTATCTCACCTTTCTATCTCACCTTTCTATCTCACCTTCATGTATCTCTCACCTTTCTATCTCACCTTTCTATCTCACCTTTCTATCTCACCTTTCTATCTCACCTTTCTATCTCACCTTTCTATCTCACCTTTCTATCTCAGCTTTCTATATCAGCTTTCTATCACACCTTTCTATCTCACCTTTCTATCTCATCTTTCTATCTCACCTTTCTATCTCACCTTTTATCTCACCTTTTTATCTCACCTCTCTATCTCACCTTTCTATCTCACCTTTCTATCTCACCTTTTCTATCTCACCTTTCTATCTCACCTTCATGTATCTCTCACCTTCATGAATCTCTCACCTTCATGTATCACTCACCTTCATGTATCTCTCACCTTTCTATCTCACCTTCCATTTATTGAGTGAACAAGCAGCAGACGACAGACAGACGTTGGGACAACAACGGAGATGAGCCCACGACAAACAGCAGACGATCAATGTTCCAGAAAATTCTTGCAACCCGAGTATCAGCCAATCTCATAGTGCTGACCCCCATAGCAAGTCTACGCCCCCTCCCCGTAGAACATATATACCCCCCCCCCATTATAGCATGTCTACCCCTCCCCTTATAGCATGTCTACCCCCCTCCCCGTAGAACATATATACCCCCCATTATAGCATCTATACCCCCCCCCCACCACCTCCTTATAGCAAGTCTACGCCCCCTCCCCGTAGAACATATCTACCCCCCATTATAGCATGTCTAAACCCCATTATAGCATGTCTACCCCCCTCCTTATAGCATGTCTACCCCCCTCCCCGTAGAACATATCTACCCCGCCACCCCCCAGTATTGGCATGCGTGGTCTTCCGTGCCCCCCCCCACCCTTTTTAAAGCTAACCCCCCTCCCAAGATTACCCCTAGCTTAAGCTCCCCCCCCCCCTCGTATTAGCCCCCCCCCCCCCCCACCCATTGTGTTAGCCCCCCCCCCTTGTATTAGCCACCCCCCCCCCCCCCCCCTTCCCCCAGCTTATGGCGCCTGTGCACACAGCAAACAGCTAACACAAGATGTCCATCCCCCACTCAACAACTTTAATAAGACATTGTTGACATTCTAATATGCTGCGGATTTTCCCCATTTCCTTTTTTAACCTACACTACTGGCCTCATTAGGTTTTTTTGCTTCGGGAATTCTTCTTCTATTTTTATCTTTATCGCATACTTTCTGTTTGGCAAGTTGTTGTTTTTTTGTTTAAGGCTATTTGATTTCCTCTAAAAAACGTCATCAACGTCTGCTTCATTTGTTGGGAGGGAGGGTGGGTAAGAATGGCGATTGGGGGAGGGAGGGTGGGTAAGACTGGCGTGTGGGGGAGGGAGGGTGGGTAAGACTGGCGAGTGGGGGGAGGGTGGGTAAGACTGGCGAGTGGGGGGAGGGAGGGTGGGTAAGACTGGCGAGTGGGGGGAGGGTGGGTAAGACTGGCGTGTGGGGAGGGGGGAGTGTGGGTAAGACTGGCGTGTGGGGGGGAGGGAGGGTGGGTAAGCCGGGCGTAAATATTTGGAGTTTGCTGGTCACACGCGCTGTTGATACCAGTGGACAAAATAAAATATATTGTTCCAGACATGCCCCCCCCCCTTTTCACACCACCCCCCCCCCCCCTCAGACCACGAGAAGATGGTGCCGCCTGTCTAGGCATCCCCACAGTACCCAGCATCAAGGGTATTTCTTTGAAAAGCCTGCTAAAGCTTATTTCAATATTCTTCAAAAACTTTCACACACACACACACACACACACACACACACAGACATATCTTGCATTCGCCCTCACACACAGACACACACTTCGACCTCACACAGCCTATCCCCACACAGAGCTTCA